GAACACAAAAAAGTAGCTGTGGTAGACGCTGCCGTGTATCGCGATTACGAGTCGCCGCCGCCACCGCCATTGCTACTGTTTGCAATATATCCATATGCACTATTCACTGCCACTGCAGTTCGTGTTATATCGTTGTATATAACTTTCTATGTATGGCTCGATTAAGGCGAGAAGGGCCGGTGAGGCGTGCGAATCGGATAGCTTGATGAATGTAAAAAAAAGAAAAAAAAAAAAAGAAGATTATAATAACTAAACAATGTGCAGCATCAGCCGCAATAAGTGTCATTCGTTGCTCCTGATTTCCAAGTATTTTTTCATTTTTTTTTTTCTATTTTTGATTTTTTGTTATATTACTTTGTATCGATCCGCGATACGAAAAATGTCGATCGATCTCTCTCTGTTTTTTAATCAATGTCAAAATCGATATTTAAATGCGCTCCTTTAATCGATTGCGAATTTAATGTTATGATAACGATAAAAATGAATGATTGTCAATGAATCGCTTTCGGCTTTCTTATTCTTTTCATATCGATCGAATAATAGCAAACGAAGATTTAGTTTTATTTCAAATATCGAGTCAATTATATGATCAATTGATTATCGATTTTTCTTACTTAATTATAACATTTCAAATGCTATATATTTTTTTTATGTTCGAGACATGATATCGAGACATATTATCACGATAAAGTTAAAATTATCGAAATATTATAGTAAATTTCAAAAATTAATAGAGAATAAATAAAGCTGAAAGTGAGTCATAACTAGCTATGAAAAGCGAACGAAAATCACATTTCCAATGATTAATTACGAAAATTCTCTTATATGTTATTGTTATCCTCCTCGCTATATGGACAGTGCTATTCTTTTTCTCTTTTCCAAACTGACCACTTTGCATCGGACTTCGAGGAATCTTTTAAACAATATGAGAACCGTAACAAAAAACGATCATAATTATAATGAACTCTTTCTACTTCTTCATCGGCAATTTCACGATGAAAATTTCATAAAAGAAAAAAGAAGGAAACGGGGAAAAAAAAGTAAAGAAACGCAAAAGATAGATTAGATTCGTTTATTGATTTCATAAACATTCGATTTCTCGAGGAGCGAGCATAAAATATCTTAAAGGACGAAAGAAACGCATACTTTATAAAATAAATAAATTACAATTCGTAATCGAACGATCTTGTTTTTTGAGGAGAAAAGTTTGTTCGTAAAAGTCAATTCTCATATAATTGTTTGACGAATTTAGCGGCTTTTAGAAATCGCGTAAATCAAGATGGAGGACTCTTGATGACCCTGCCTCGCCTTGATGCGATTATATAATGAAAACAAAAGTTTGTGC